GGAGCAGATGTTTATGATGCTCCTCGCTGTGCCCTTGGCTCCGCTCAGTGTTTCCATTAAATATTCCCTGTTTTTCTAACCTCCAAAACACCCCATGCAGCGTAAGGATCAGATATTAATCATTTCCCTGGGGCTTTTGGGGGGATTTAAGTCCTTGGAAGTGCAAACCTTTGCATTCCTGATGATTCCAGGGTTTTCCCTCTGCTCTGAGCCGGAGAGTGGCCGAGTTGTAGCTGGAATTCACCTGGAATTTCTCTACTGGTGGCAGAGGGCTCATGGATTGGGTCTGGCTCCCGGAAAGGGGCTTGTTCCAAAGAAACAAATTCTCTGGAAAAAACACCCCCATCATTTATTTTTTTTTTTGAGCACATTTCCTTGGATTTTTGCTCAGGGGGAGGGGAGGGAGGTATTGGCCCCTGGAGCTGGTGGTGCCTCCAGGAGGGATGTTGGCTGTTCCCAGCCAGGAGCCTCTTCCCTGGCTCAGGAATTCCTTGGGATGGCCTGAGCCATCCCAAAATTCTCTGCTCCCTGCTCCTGTTTCCTCCCTGAGTGATGCTGGACCTTTTCCACTGGGTTTTCCTGGAGTTTGGGGATCGGGGGTGTCCGGAGCCCGTCGGTCTCACGAGGTGCCAGCGGCTCCTCCTCCCTCGGTTCCGGGAGGGGAGTTTTCCCTTCCCGTGGCTGTTGGGATCTGCCACTGCACCTCCCCACCTGCCAGCCCTGCCTGCCCCCTCCCAACCTGCCCTGTCCCTGTCCCAGCGGATGCAGAAACGGGCCGAGCGTTTCAACGTCCCCGTCAGCCTCGAGAGCAAGAAGGCGGCTCGGGCAGCGCGGTGAGCGGGGCTGGGGGGTGAGGGGAGTGAGGGGGGTGAGGGGGTGTGGGGTGGGAGTGAGGGGGTACTAGGGTGGGAGTGTGAGTGTGCCCAGAATGGATGTGAGGGTGCCCAGGGTGAGGAGTGTGAGGGTGCCCGGGGCAGCTCCTCAGTGGGATTTGGGAGCACATTCCTCCCTGGGAGTGTGGGGAGGCCCTGGAATGGATTTCCCATCCCTGGGAGTGTCCAAGGCCAGGTTGGAGTGACCTGGGATAGTGGGAGGCAGAACTGGATGGACTTTAAGCTCCCAACCCAACCCATTCCATGATTCTTCCCTGGGAGAAGTCTCTCCAGAGACCTCTGTGTGCAGGGATGGGACAACAACCCTGGAAGGGTCTGGAAAACCAGAGGGAGAAACAGGTTTGCTGGAGGGTTTGGGATTTGGGTTTGGAGAAGGTGGGAGCTGCTGCAGGAATTCCACAAGCTGGGAATGACGTGTTCCAGCTCATCCTGCCCCCAGACCAGGGAAAACCCTTGGAAGGGGAGTTCTCCAGGGCTGGACATTCCCATCACTGACTCACCCTTGTTCACCTTCCACAGGTTTGGTTTGGCCACAGCTCCCACGAAAGGTGAGGGGAAGCAGAACCAACCCCTGGAATGACCTTCCTGCAAATATTTACTCCTTTTGGGGGGTGGGAAAGGTTGGTGGGACAACCCTTGTTTTCCCTTTTCGTGGAGCTCCAGGTGGGAATTGTGGAGCCAGAATCCTGTGGAATCAGGAGGAAAAGGGCACGGGTTGTCTCTTGGGGGTTGGATTTTCCCAGTGTCTCTCACTGCAAGCCCAACTGGGAGGCACAGCTGGGTTTTCCTTGGCATTCCTTGGTCCTTCCAAACATCTGTGGCTTCTTAAAATGCCACATTCCACTCCTGGAGCTGCTGGAGAGGTGGGATGGGGCTGGGTTTGAGGGTGGAGAAGCTGCTTTGAAGGTGAAAATGGAATTGGGAGTGAGCAGGGATGGACAGTGAGAAGAATGGGGTGGGAATTCTCGTCTCCTTGGAGATAAAATCCTACTCCAGTGCTGTTCCCTAACTGGGAATTCTCTCTCTTCCCTCTTCTCTCAGGCCTCTCTGCAGACAGCAAACCCACGGTAAGAAAAGCTTCATTCCACTGGAATTTTGGGTGGGACACGGAATTTTGGGTGGGAACACGATCCAAGTGGTTCCTGCAGGAGGGGGGTTGTGGTTCCTCTGTGCAGGACTCTGCCAGGGAAGGTTTGTCCCAAAAATCTGGGCTCTTTAGGGGTGATTTATTTAGGGATAACAGTGCCCAATATCTCTGGGAAACCTTGGGAAGCTGCTGGGTTTGGAAGGGGGTGGTGCAGCTTCCCAGCCTTGGGGCAGCCTGGGAGCAGAGCTGGTTTTCAGGAGTCCTGGCAGTTTTCCCAGAGGCCCTTAATTGTCCATTTGGGGATGAGGCTGATCCCTATCCCTGAAACCCGAGGGATGGGGATGGAAAAAACAAGCCACGGAAATTGTTTCCTGCTTCTTGTAGATAAACATGGATAAACTAAAGGAAAGGGCTCAGAGGTTTGGGTTGAATGTCTCCTCACTCTCCAAAAAGGTAAGGACATTCCAGGACACTCTTCCCACCTCAGGATTATCCCAGTGCTCCAATCCCACCATCCCTGTCTGAGGTTTTACATCCCGTTCCCGAGCCCTGTCAACACCATTTCCTTCCCCTTCCCCTCTGTTTGTGTTTGTGCTGGGATTCCACATGGTTTTCCAAGAGTTACAGCTCCTGAGGGTTTGGAATTTTAAGGTTGTTCATCCAGATTTTAAGTGGGAAGAGCCCCCATGATCCAGGGGGTTCAACTCCCACCGTGTCCGTGTGGGTCCCTGCCTGGCAGGAGCCAGGTCAGCCCAGACCTGGAGCTCTGGAGAGAAGGTTCCAGTGGGAAATAATCCTTGGAAGTACAACAGATGTGTTGGGGATAGATTTGACCTCGGAGCTGTTGGTTTTTCCAGGGGGAAATGGGCACAAACTTGTGAGCTCCTTGTAGGATCTGCTGGAGGGGCAGGGGATGGAGCTGGGGGATGGATTTGGGATCTGTGCCCAGCTCAGGAATGGAGCTGGGGTCTGTGTCCAGCTCCAGGGTGGGATTTGAGCGAGCTGAGTGTTCTGGGAATGGAAAAACGTGGCTGGAAAACAACTGGAGCAATAATTCCATGGTTTTCCTTTCCCTGGCTGCAAGTTTTCCATGTCACATCCCAGTGCTGTGGCCGTGGGAAGTGCCAGGAGCCTCAGGAATGACCCTGGTTGGACCCCAGCATGTCCCTTCCTTGGAAAAGTCCCAACTGCCTGTGCTGGGACAGGTTAATTTTTACCCCTCGTGGCTTCAGCTGAATTTTGCTTTAATTCCAGTTGACAAGAACATGTTTTCCGTGGAGCAGATCCCGACCTGGATCAGCCAGGGGAGATCAGGGCTCACTGGAGCAGCAGAAAGTCTCTGTGTGTCCAAACCAGCAAATGAGGCAGAGAAAACAATTCCTTTAATTGTTTGGCTTCCAGGAGCTCGGAGGAGCAGCAGCCTGAGGAGGAATATCCTTCTCCTGGATAATCCCTGTGCCTGCAGCCTTTCCAAACCACCCCTGGGAGCCTGGACCAGGAGCTGTTTTGGCCCCCAAGGAAGCCAAGGGTGGTGATGAGGGGGGGGAGATGCTGGCAGAGGAAAGGGAAAAGGATTGGTGGGATGTTCCAGGAGACCCATTCCTGTGGATCAGAGAGGTGGGATTGGCCTCAGTGGAGGGTTTGTTGTTGGGAAATTCTGATTTCTGGCACTTGGCAGAGGTGGCTCTGCCCTTGTAGGGAAGGCCCCGTTGGCACAGGTGGAGGAGCAGCAGCGGCTCCACTTTCCCTCGGGATCATCCATCCAGGCTCTTCCCTCTCCCCAGAGCCCTTCCAGGCCTTCCCTCCCTGTGTCACTTCCCAAACAAGGGCTCTGGGCACTCCTGGGCTCCGGGGAAGCTCTGGGAGTGGCCAGGACTCCTTCCCGGCCTCCCTGACCTCCCTCTCCCACTCAGCTGGTCCTTCCTTGGGCCCCGCTGGGAAACAGGACTTGGCTTTTGTCTGGAACACAAATACATCCCCCCTCCCCCTCTATTATGATTCCATCAATGATGTCATTATGTCCCATTCAGGGGCTCCTGGACCCGTTGGCTGCAGGAATTTGGAGGAGAATGGCAGGGCCTGCTCCAGCTCCAGCCCTTCCCGAGCCTGGGGGAACAAACCCACCTTCCCTTCCCTGGGGGAGAAATGAAAACAACCCAAAAATTTCCCCTGTGGAAAGTGGGGAGGGAGCACAGGGGATCCCTCCTTCCCAAACTCCTGGATTTCTGGGAGGAATCTCCTTCCCAAACTCCTGGATTTCTGGGAGGAATTTCCTCCTTCCCAGAGATTCCTTTTAATTCCCAGCTTCAGCTGCTCCTTCTGTTCTCGGGAGACTCGATGGTTTCACTTCCCTTGTCCGTGGAATGTTGCTCTGAGTGGGTTTTGGGGGATGTTCTGACTCCCTGATTTTCCCTCAGCCATCCCAAATCTGTTTCCAAAGAGTGTACTCCCTGTTTTCAGGCTGGATGTGGGAATCCATCCCTGCCTGGTGGGAAAACCCACTCAGAAGGTCCCGTGACCTCCAGTTTGCCCAGTTCCACAGTTCCCAGGTCACAGGGGACTCTCCTCCAATCCTGCCCGTGCTGGAGCTGGGAATTTGGGGCAGGAAGAACCTCTGCAAACACGGGAATGACGTTGGAGGTGCCTTGGGGGTGCGAAGAGATGAAAAGCCCCTTTTGCCTCCTGGAATTGCCTCGTTCCCGAGGCATCATTTGCCTCATCCCTGACGTGGGAGGGCAGGAATTCCTTTCCATGTGCTCTTAGCACATGGATGTGACTTTCTGCTCCTCCTCCTCCCCCCCGATCCCCTTTAGGGTGAGCACAAACTCCCAGCTGTGACAGCCGGGAGGGCTTTCCATGGGAAAACCTCTGGGACAGGCTGGGAGCTGGCTCATGGGAAGAGAAGGTTCCATGGATGCCTTAGAGCCCCTTCCAGTGCCTAAAGGGGCTCCGGGAGAGCTGGAGAGGGACTGGGGACAAGGCATGGAGTGGCAGGACGATGGGGAATGGCTTCCCACTGTAAACTAGGACATTTAGGTGGGATTTGGGGAAGGAATTCCTCCCTGTGAGGGTGGTGAGACACTGGCACAGTGTAAAGAAAGAACTAGAGCTGGATGTTCTGCCTTCCCAACCTGTTTTCCAAGTTTCTTTGGGAGAAAGGATGAGGAATGAGCTTGTGGTCGCCCGTTTCCTGTGTCAAAAAACCTTCCTGGAACAGTTATCTGTGTTTGATGTTTCTGAGCTGATCCAAAGCCTTTGGAACCGCTTTTGTTGGAGCTGGGCTGTCCCAAATCCAGGGCTGAGGGTCCCTGGGACAGTGAGGGGACTTGGTTGTCTGTTCCTGCTGCTCATCCAGGCAGAATCGTCATATTATTTGGGAGAGAGGCCGTGCCTGGCTCGGTCCTGCTGCCACCAGCCCCAGATCTGGGCTGGAATCCCAAATCCTTGGAGCTGGAGGAGCTGTGGGAGGAAAGGGGCAGCTTGGATCACGTGGAGCATCCCCATGTCCTGCTGAGTGTGAGAGGTGAAGAGCTCCTGAAAGGCAGTTCTGGGGCTGGAAGTGCAGGGATGTGAGGCACACGTGGAACATTCCCATGGAAATCCCAGGCTTCCCTCTTCCATCACATCTGGTGTTGGGAAGTGTCAGCTCTGGAAGGATTTGGCAGGGATGGGGAGAGAGACGGGAGGAGCAAATACAGGAATAAAGCGTGGAGGAAATCGGGTCAGGATGAATTTCAAGCAGACCCTGGGTGGCAGCTGCGTGCCCCAGGATTGGAGTGTTCCCGGGAATAACTCCCTCGGGAGCTGCTGCTCCGCCCGGGGCCGGGATCGGACGCGGAGTCGCCCTCGAGGGTCCGTCCCCTCTCCCGGGGGGGTCAAGGCTGTGCCACCATCAATCCTCCAGCGCCTGGAGGCCTCAGCTCCGCTCTCCATCCCCCATCCGTCATCCCGGGCTGGGAGGGCCCCTCTCCGGGGTCTGTGGGGAGGACACTCGAGGCCTCACCTGCAATTCCAGAGCAGTTTCCTCCTGGAATGGTTTAATCTGCAGGGAAGGAAGGGGAAGATGTGGAGCAGCTCTGCTGTGGAGAACTGGGAGCGTTCATGGAGAAGGGAAGAATCCAGGGAGACCTTGGAGCCACTTCCAGGGCCTGAAGGGGCTCTGGGAGTGCTGGAGAGGGACTTGGACAAGGCCTGGAGTGACAGGACAAGGGGGAATGGCTTCATACTGGAAAAGGGGTGTTTTAGGTGGGATTTTGAGAGGAAATTCCTCCCTGTGAGGGCAGTGAAGCACTGGAATGGATTTCCCAGAGGATTCCCCATCCCTGGAAGTGTCCAAGGCCGGGTTGGACAGGGGTTTGAAGGTGTCCCTGCCCATGGCAGGAGGTTGGGATGGGATGAGCTTTCAGGTCCCTCCATCCCAAACCCCATTAATTTAAGCAGAGTGTTGCACCTGAGCTGTTCCCAGCACTGGGCTGGAGCTGGGATCCAGTTGGGATCCTGGGCAGGGCTCCCTGAGTGCCAGAACCACGGGAGCCACGAATTAACACCTTTTGGCTCCAGCTCTTCCAGCAGCAGCTCTTCTCCCAGGAGAGGGGAATGAGTGGCTGGAGCCGGAGAAGTGGCTCATTCCAGATTTAATTGTGGAACCAGGTCATTCATCCCCTGGGAGGGGACAGGGAGCAGCCAGGAGCCACCAGCCTTGGGGACAGGAGGGTCCCCTTGGTGCCTGGAGCTCTGGGATTCAGGTTGGACATCCAGGCCAGGAGGGAACCCTTGGAGAGGGGGCAGATCCTGAGGCAGATTCCCATGGCACTGGAATGCCGTTGCCACCAGCAGCCCTGGGATCCCCCCTTGAAATCAGGGCTCCAAATGAACACTTTGGGACCAAATGCAGCACAAATCCATGGACAGATTCCCAGTCCTGGGGATCCCGTTCCCAGATCACAGGGAAGGCTTTGTCTCCAAGGCTTGGAATCCCTCTTGAAACTTTTTTTCCCTCTTCTTCCCGTTCTTTTAGAGAAGTGGGAGAGCAAAGGGAACAAAAATTGGAACAGGGAGCTTGGAAAATGGATGTGAGGGGCTGCCAGCGGGGTCAGCTTTCCCTGGATTTGGCAGGGCCGGGATTGATGGATGTGGCCGGGGGGGCTTGGGGTCATTTTCCTCAGCTGGATTTCAGCACCCCATGAATCAACCCCTGGCAGGGGAACAGCTTGGGCTGGAGGGGAGTTCACCGGGCGCGTGGAGGGGGGTCAGGGAGCGGGATCGTTATCCCGGAATTGATTTAGGGAAGGGGCCTCCCGAGAAATAAATCACCGGGATCCTGGAGCTGGGGGGAGGAAGGCACGGAATGTTGTGGTGCCAAAGTGGATCTGAGGACCCCCTGCTCAGGGAATGGAACCCCCTGGGAGTGGGGGTGGGATCTGGGAGCTTTTCCATTGGATGTCACCAGAGGGTTTAATCCAAGGAGGAAGTGGAAGATGTGGAGCAGCTCTGCTGGGAACTGGGGGGGGGGTCATGGAGAAGGGAAGGCTCCAGGGAGCCCCTTCCAGGGCCTAAAGGGGCTCCAGGAGGGCTGGAGAGGGACTTTGGACAAGGGATGGAAGGACAGGACACAGGGAATGGCTTCCCACTGTCAGAGGGCAGGGTTAGATGGGATTTTGGGAAGGAATTCCTCCCTGTGAGGGCGATGGGGCCCTGGAATGCATTTCCCAGAGAAACTGTGGCTGCCCCATCCCTGGAAGTGTCCACGGTCAAGTTGGAGCAACCTGGGATAGTGGAAGGTGTTCTTGCCCCAGACAGGTGGAATGGGATGAGGAGGGATGGGAGGAACACTCCTGGGCATTCCCAGACAATGAACCCCATCCCTTCCTCGTGCAGAGCGAGGAGGACGAGAAGCTGAAGAAGAGGAAGGAGCGTTTTGGGATCGTCACGAGTTCAGCCGGAGCTGGAGCCACAGAGGACACAGAGGTAAAAAACCCTCCTGCCAGGGGATGGGGAGCAGGGAGGGAAGCAGGGAGGGGAGCAGGGAGAGTCCTGGGACCTCCAAGATCCAGGGACCCCTCAGGACCTCGGGGGCTGAGCCCCAACCTCGGGCTGTGCTCCCCCACCACCTCCCCTTCCCCTGCCTCCCAGCCCAGGGGGGCTTTTCCAAGGAAAAGGGTTTCCCAAGGGAGAGGTTTCAGTCAGTGCCACCTCAAATCCAAGCAGAAGGACAGATTTCTGCTCCCAGACATCCCTGCTTGGCCCAGGGCTGGGGGGAGCCCTGGGAAGGCAGCGGGAGCCGATTCTCCGGGAAGGAGAAGGGGAAGGGGGCACAGGCAGCTCCTGTGGACCCCATGGGATGGGGTTTCCATGGATCCATGCTGGGAACAGGCTGCTCCAGAACTCTCTGAGCCTGCTCCCCTGGCAGGACATCACAGATGCTTCCAGAAGGAGCGGGGGGCACATCCCACCCTGATCCCCCTCCCCTCCCTGGGGCTGATCCTCGTCCTCGTCACTCCCTGGGCCCCGGCAGCTCCTGGACCCTCTGCTATTGTTGCTCTTCATCCATAAATCCCGGGAGGCTCCAGGATATAATGAGGATTGGGATGCTGACCCTGTTTCCAGTGCTTTGTTGTGGCCTCAGCGGTTCTGGCCCATCTTTTAAATTTATCACCTCCTCGGGGCAATTTTGGTCCCTTTTATTGTGCTTTGACGCTTCTCCTTCAAGTAATTCCAACCCTGTGCTCCAGGCTGGAATGATTTGAAGGTGGCTTCTGCCTGAAGCAGGTGGGCAGTGCCCTGCACACCTAAATGCCACCAAAACATGGGATTTGGGGACCCTCTCTGGGGACAAAGGGACCCCCCCAGGGTGGGGGGTGCTGGATGAGCACACCAGGATTTGGGTACAGCTAAACCAGGCAGCTCCAGTTTGCTTCCTGTGAGAAATTGTACCCCTCCAGGTGGGATTTAGGGGCTGTTTTTCAGGGCTGAGTGTTTTTTGGGGGGCGTTTCTTCCCCGGGGGGGTGAAGCAGGAGCTCCGTTCCCGGCGGAGCAGGGGGAGCGTGAGGCTTTTCCGTCGGGTCACCCGGAGACTGTGCTGGAACAAAAAAGGCTTTTTACTGGCATTGTGTGCACTCAAATGCACCTTTCCCTGGAGATCCTGGGCTGGGGGCTTCTGTTGCCCCCCCGGGCTATTTATCCTGCTAAAAATTAAGATTTATACGCCCCTCGTGGAGCGGCTTAAAGGGGAATCGGCCACGTATTTAATGTGTCCCTCTCACCTTCCCCATGAATAGAGCAGAGTTCACCCTTTGCCCTTTTCCATTTCCCACCTCCCCACTCCCTGCCAGCGTTTCAGGCCCCTGAAGTCACCATTGTTCCTGGCTCAGCCCCTTTTGTGGCTCCTTCCCACTGTATTCCGGGCACTGTATGTTCCTGTTCCTGGGTTTGGGGATCTGTCTGGGGCTTGGGGCTCTTTGTGGGTTGGGTCCCTCTGTTTTGAGGCTCTTTTTTCATTTGGGTCGCTGTGTTTTGGGGCTCTTTTTGTCATTTGGGTCTCTCGGGTTTTGGGCTCTTTGTGGTTTGGATCTCTCTGTTTTGGGGCTCTTTGTGTTGGGAAAAACTCCATCTCTCCCTCTCTGTGGGAGCAGGGTCCGGAGTCTCCACTTCCAGCCGTGTTCCCCAGGCTGGATTTTGAACCAGTTCTCCCTCAGGTTCTTTATGAGATTTTAAATAACTCATTTATTGGATTTATTAATTTTCCTTGTCATTCTCTTTCCAGGCAAAGAAGAGGAAAAGAGCAGAACGGTTCGGGATCGTGTGAGGCTGTCCTGGAGCTCCTGCCGTGGGTTCCTCCTCCTCCTCCTCCTGCTCCTCCCTCCCCACTTCCCACTCCCACACCTTTCCAAAGGATTTAGTGACAGTACACAGGGAATTCCCCCGGAGTTGGATGATTGTGCTACTTACATTTGATGGTTTTTTTTTTTCAAATGGCCAAGTTTAGAAATGAGGGAAAACGGAGCAAAGAGAACCAGCTGGTTTTGGTGCCCCCCCCAGCCCCACATTCCAGGGGTTTCCCAGTGTTTTGGGGGGTCACAGCAGCAGCTCCTGATCCTTCCCAGTGCTCCAGGAATCCGTGTGGCCATGGCACAGCTGGGACAAGGACAGGCCCCACTCCCCCAAGGGACAATGACACGAGTCCTGCTCGGTCTCTGCTGCCTCTGACAATGTCAGGGAAGGATTTTCCCAAATCCATCGTCACATCTTTCCCAAAATGTGGTGACCTGGGGCATTCCCACAACCTTCCCTGCAGGAGCTGCCAGAGGCAGAATTGCCCATTAACCCCAGATCAGGTGATTTCTCCCCAAACCAGGAGCGTTGCCCTGGGATCCGTGTGTTGGATGCGGATGTTCCTGGAGGATGTGCAGGAATGTGGCTCTTCCTGCTGCTACAACATCCCATTTTTGGTGAAATTATGGAAAAATCCACGGCCAAAACACACCGAAGGTGCTGCTGGTGAAGCCTTTCTGGCTCCCTGAGCTTTGGCACCTTGGATTTGGGGGATTCAGGGAGCAGCTCCCATGGGGGAAGCTCAGGATCCCCAATCCCATGGGATCGGCAGGGGGTGCCCAGACCCCCTTCCCCTTCTCCTTCCCAGAGAATCAGCTCCTGCTGCCTTCCCAGAGCTCCCAGAGCAGGAATGTGTCTGTGAGCAGGAATGTCTGCTTGGATTTCAGGTGGGCATTGACCGAAACCCTTCCCCTGGTGAAGACTTGACGTCCCAGGATTGTTATTCCCCGCGGGATCCTCATCCCGGAGCGCTGGGAAGGCCATTGGGAGCAGCAGGGACATCCCACCCCAGGCATTCCAAGGCTCCCACCCCAGTAACAAGCAATAGTTCTACTTTTTGTAACGTGGAAAGTCTTCAAAAATGCTTCTGTTCCCTGAGCGTTTTGGGGCCTCCGGGAAATCCCTGGGATGTTCCTTTCCTTCCCCAAAGGGCAGCTGAAAGCCACGGGATCCAGGTGACACCACGGGATCCAGGTGACACCCTGTGTCCTTGGCTGAGCCCCAGCTCTGTTGCTCCTCCCCATTCCCTGTGCTCCCGTTATCCCAGTGTTTTGGTCCATGTTTGGGATTTCTCCTCCGTGTTTTCTGTTTGCCTTGTGGTTCCCCCGCTGGTTGTTGGCTCGGAAGGGTTTGTGGTGCCAGGGCAGGGAAGGGTTTGTGGTGCCAGGGCAGAGGTTCCCTCCTTGCTTTCATAATAAAACTCCTTCTCCAAGGCACTCCTGGGCTCCTGGGTTGGGATTGGGGCTGGAGCTGTGCAGGAAACCCCCGAAATTCCCGTCCTTACCCAGGGCTGGGTATCCCTGGCATTACCCAGGATGTTCCATGGCCAAATTCCTGCCCCTCTGGCCTCCAGATGTGGATCTCCTCCCTCCCCGGAGCAGGGAATGGGGACACGGATGTCACCCAGGGCAGGGCTGTTCCCCTCCCCTCCTCACCGGGATTTTGGGACCAGGTCCTCGTGGAGCTCCAGGGGAAGCACAGACTCCTCTGGATTCAGGTCACTGGTGGGTGAGGGGACACTGGTGGTGGCACTGCCCTTCTCCAGGACTCGGAGTCCCACCAACTCCACTCTGGCACAAGGACCAGGGCGCAGGAGGGTCCCGGTTCCTGCCCTGCCCTGGTCTCTCTGCTCAGGTCCTGCTGACATTTCTCCTGCTGGTGTCCGTCCCTCTCCCTCCTCGGGGATGAGTTTTCGGCGGCGGCGGCACCAAATTTGGGATGGGCTCCTCCCCGTCCCTGCGGGGCCGCATCTTCACTGCGAGCGGCCCCGGGTTTCAAACACCCCCCGAGCCGGGGGCTCCTTGTGACTAATTTGGGCTGAATAGGGGAAGAAGAAAAGCCGCGGGCGCACAATGGGCGGGGGAAATTCGTGTGGGAAAGGCAGGGAAAGAAAGGAAGGACCGGGGCTGCGGGCGCCGTGGGACCGCGCGGGAGCGGGGCCCAAATGCGGCGTGAAGTCACTTGTCAGAGCCCCCGGGGACAGCCCGGGGGGGCTCCGGAGGAGCAGGGGGGGGATTGCACAAAGGGGTGAGGGGCTCCGGTGCCAGCAGCCCCTCCTTCCCCTGCACCGGCCGCGGGTCCCCCGACCTCAAATCCGGCCCCAAATCCCACCAGCCTTGTTTCCCACTGACCTCCCCTCCCACTGGCCTTGTCTTGTCTCCCGCTGGTCTCATCTCCTTGAGGTGACCAAGGATTGCCCCTCCTTGACTGGTGGCTCCTGTCCCACAGGACAGGGATGTCCCAGGAGCCAGAGCATGGCTGGAGCTGATCCATCCCCTTGGATCATCCTTCTTGGATCCTTGGATCCTTCTGTTGCCCTGCCATGGAGGAGGGGGCTCCATGAGGGATGTGCTCACTGGAGGACAGGGAATGGGGACGCCTCAAATCCTACTTGTGAGACACCCAGAGCTCGGGAGGGTCTGGGGGTCTTTGGGATGGCATCAAAACCCCGTCCCTGATGTAGGTTGGGCATTGCCAGGGGACTGAGCCAACTGGATCCCAGGATGTTCTGGGGACCTTTGGGA